ACGCGCTTTGATGGAAGAGATGTAGATAGCCTTATTGTGTACCGATCTAGGATTGACAAGTACTGATGTCCTTGAATTATAAGCTTGGCTGCAACATAGATAAGAAACGAAAATGATTAAATAAAGGAAGATTAAATGAAATGATATAGATAAGAAATTAAATGAAATAAGGATGGGATAGAGATGGTTGCGGAAATTAAGGGTCTTGATGGATGAAGATGATGGTTTTGATGATGAAATGGAGATGGTGATGATGTTGTATCTCAAACACGCCAAAGAGGAAACTATGCTATGAAGCACAATCCCGGTCTTCACAAACTTGCTTGAGGGGTGGTGTTAGTGTCTTCAACCCACTAGATATTAATCTAGGAATTTATGAATCAAGATGGAATGAATGACGCCACAAGTATAGGAACTGTACTTGTTTAATCGATAAAGTTCACAAAGAACTTTGAAGAGAAATAACTCACAAGAGTATATTTTATATAAGAGATGAGATGAGTACAAATGATGGCAAGCCACTCTATTTATAGGAAATGAGAGGGCTTGGCTGAATGGTTACATGATGTTTTTGCTAGATACATGTCTCTAGGAAGATACATAATGCTTCAAAATAAAAGAACATATCTATAGGCTTAGTGTTGGTTCGGTTAACCCTTCATAAAGGGACTTGATGATTCGGCTAAAGATGGGAAGGCATCTCCCTTGGCTGAATGGTGATGCTTGTTCTTCTTGGCGCCAAATGATTCTCTTTGGCCGAATGGTGATGTGCCTCCTCATGTTGACGCCAAATGCTCTCATGTGCATAACATGTGTGTGGTCGAATAGGCATGGAGCTTTATATCATGTTCCTTAGTGATTTACACCTCCAATGATTACAATGTCTTCATCATCATGCTCTTGGATGTAAATGCATCTTCATGGGCAGCATCATTCATGAAAGGTCACAATGTTTGAGAAATGTGTCCCTTAATGTTTGAGCTACTTATGGTGTGAATGAGCTAAAGGTGAGCTGGCCATAGGTGACTTGTAGCATGGTGAACATTATGGTAGCTCCTTGTGAAAAGGTACCTCTTGAGTTGACAGCTATTCGCGAAAAGGTACGATTTCACAAATTTTGACTTAGGACATATTTGAAGTGTCCTAAGTGGTGATGATGATGGTGCAGCTCCCCAGCTGAAATGAGGTCATCTTGTAGCTTAAATCTTCAGCTCAATCTAGCTATGAGCTCACGACCTCAAAATAACTTTTCACCAATTTGCTCCTTATGCTCTCTTAATCGTTCCCATGTGAATATCCTTGCTTTTGCATGCTCCATTTAACTCCAATGTAGCTCCCAAGTATTGGTCGAATGTGCCTACATATATAACATAAAGAAATAAACTAAGTAAATGAACTTATATAATGTATAATATAAGAATGTGAACTATAGGTCATTTAATATTCAATATGTAAATATTAAACAACCTATTATCTAAGGGTTCTTTCTCATTAAAAGATTTAAAAACATTAAGGCACTTATGAGAAAGTACTTCCCTGAATTGTTTAGCCTTTGCACAAGTGATTGGTTCTTGAGGCATGACTTCAGGATCCATTTGTGTTGTTGTGTTCACATCAGTATGTATGTGTGATAAATTAGGTAATTATGAGCCATGTGATAATAAATTATATGACTATATGATCATAAGAGATAAGATATATGACAAGAGAGATATGAAAGTAAGCTATGTGATTATGTGTTATATGAATACAAGAACATATGATATGAGATATATGATAAGAAGATATGAGACTCCATGAGAGTTTTAAATGATATGTGATAAGAAGCCATAAGTTATATTCATGTGTGATATGAATGTGTGAATGTGTGATAAACATAAATAATAATGCCCATGTTATGTGTTATGAGAGCTAGGGGTATAGTTGGCATGCCAAGAGTCGAGGATTCTACGTGGTCCTTCGGGACATATATGTATTCATTTGGAACATATATATGGTACTTTGGTACACTTATTTTATCCATTGGAATATGTATGTGGTCCTTAATGAGTGGTCCTTCGAAACATATGTGTTATATATGGTCCTTCGGGACATCTATGTGGTCATTCGGGACAAATCCTATGTACCCATAGTGGGAATTATACGAGCTCTGGTGACAGCATATGTGCACAACCTCTATGTACTCACATACCTTAAGTTCTCAGAAGTATACATGGGCTAATAAAGAAAGATAAAAACAAGTGCATTGTGTATGAGATATATGCTTTGTAATGTAAAAATAATTACCAAAGTTATATGATGTTGTATGCATTGTTAGTTTTAAGAGTATATGATTGTATGAATTAATGATAAGAATGTTAATAATGATAATAATGATAAGTGTACATATAAGTCTTGTGTTGTATAAAATGTACATGCATTTGTTAAGTAGTTATAGTTTCTATTATTTATTACATGTCTCACTAAGTCTATGAGTTAGCGTGTGATTGTTTCACACGTAGGATCCCAAAAGTTTTAAAAGAAAAGTTAGGAAGCGGAGGGCAGTATAGCATCATCGAAGATTAGTTCAGAAGAAATTTATCAGTATGTTATTCGTTGTATTATATGACGTTGGCATGTATTTAAAGAATTAAAGTGTAGAAGCTCTGAACAGTTTTTGTAAACGTTTTGAATTTATTTATGTAAATTACTTCCTATGTTTAAATTAAATCTGAATTTTCCTCTATTTTATATAAGAAAATGATTTGAAAGGTTGATGTGACATCTCAAACTCGTATTTGGGTCGGATATGGGTTGGGGTGTTACAGAGCATGTTCCCAACGAAAACGTTATTGGAAACCTCCATCGAAGGGAAATATCTTAAGCTCACTTGCTTTTTTCTTGAATCCATCCACAATCTTTTAACTCAACTATGGTTTTGCCATTATGTTCTTGTTGTTTTTTTATAAGACCTCTCCAAGTCAGCTACCTTAGTCTTCAGTCGTTTTCTTTAGTGTTGGTCGTCTAAAAACCGTTTTTCGGAGGTCTTTAACTGTTCTAAATGCTTCGTAGTTCCTGAACTTCATTCTGCTTAAGGCTGACAGAAGCATAACCAATCGGATCTGACATATAGTTGCCTTGCAGACTGTCTCCCTTTTCTTTCTGAGTCTTTTCAGACCATAGTCGGACCTCGACATTTTTCACCTCTTGCATTACAACCCCTTTGTCCATTAATACAGATTATTTGTGTGTAACGAACACTTTTTTTGTGGATCAATCACCTCTTTTTATGATGCAAACGATAAAAAAAAGAACAAACATGAAAGAAAAACCTGTTAGTCAAATAGAAATAATAATAATAAAAGTAAAAAAATGATCACATAAATTGCATGCTTTGAACATGAAGTAAAACAGAAAATAATTCAAACATCCTAGGTTTTGAAATGGAGTTTCGGGGTGGGCTCTAATTCCTTATCTCCTGGTTTAAGTTCTAAAGAAGGTATCCGAGTTCTCCTTGTTGGTGCCTCCTTAGGCTTGCCAGACCCTCAGTCCTAAGCCCATTAAAAGCTTATGTGGACCAAGTTAAACTCGAGAGGATACATTCCCTTATGTCTATACAGAGAATAAATTCACACGAAGACATAAGGTATATGAATCCCGAAGGTTACTTGCTAGGCCTATACGAAGAATAAATTCCCACGAAGGTGTCACTTTCACCTCTACTTAAAAAAAGGGTTTGGAGCTCGGGTATAGAGTCTGAGATGAAAATGTTTAATAAGATGAAATCATTAAAAAACGTCAGTACAACTATTTATTTGAAAAATAATCAAAGGTAAGTAATAAGGATCGAAAACTTAAATTAAAATTTAAACTTACAATTTTCACTTAAGAAGACAACCGAAAATTAGCCTTAGCCTGACTCACTTACCTGGTCCCTAGCAGAGTCACCAAACTGTCTCAACCGTCCTTCTGGTGGACCCATAATTGGGCTTCGACTTAAATAAAACATGTAAGAGCCGCCACCGTTCATTTGTTTTTTTTTTTTTGTAAAACAAATTTGGTTGATCGGACATCATCTTATCTTATCTGCGTTTTACCATAAATATGTTAGATTCTAGAGTTAGTTACAGTCAAGAAATGATTAGCACCATTGAACTAATCTTTTTGGTACCATTTTAATTTATCGATTGTCTTAATTGCGAAAATTTAAATTTAAATTTAAAGACTCGATTCAAATTACTTACCTTTGATTGGTTAAAAGTGCCCCCAAAAAGTTCAGAAGATATATTAAAACGTGAAATAATATGGAAAAAAAGGATTAAAATAAATGAAAGAGTTAAATACGGAAATATTAAAAGTGAAAAGAAATTAAATTAAATTAAATTAGGAAAATATTAAAAACGAAAAAATTTAAATTTAAATTTTAAAAAGAACAAAAAAGATAAAAAGAAAATGTTAAAAAGAAGTAAAATGTAAAAAAAAATGCTAAAAAATAAAAATAAACAAATAAAAAATAAGTGACCAAATTGAATTAAATATATATTTATGGTTTTAATTAATATTAGAAAATGATTTGCCAAAGAAAACAAAAAATTAGGGGATTAAATCGTGAAATATAATAAATATAACGAATGATTAAATTGAAATAATTGAAAATTCTAAGGCAAAATTGAAACAGGTCATTGAAATGAATTACACCTCAAAAGTGCAGGGACTACGGAAATAATTTATCTATGGGTAAACTACGCCAATGATCACTGATGTTTGGGTAAGTTTTCGTTTTCACCACTAATGTTTCAAAAGTTACAAAAAGTTACAAATAGGTCACTAACGTTATCGTTTGTAACAAAATGGTCACTTTCCGTTAACAGACGTGACGAAAAATACAACTGGACTGTTATCTGCTGAGTTGGATCGTTGACCGCCATTTTGACTGGCTCTTCTTCTTCTTCAATCTATTCTTCCATCTTCTTTTTCTTCACTTTTCTTCTTCTTCTTTCTTTCTCTTCATTTTTCTTCACTTTTCCTCTTATCAATATGTTCGTAATGATTATGCTGTTAAAATCCACCAACCTGCCCAGTTTCCCTCCTTTGTCGAAGCCCAATGTAGAACTCATCCTTCAACAACTTCTCATTATTTTTTCCGACATCGATGGACACCGGTAAACACTATAAAGCAGAATCAATCAATATGAGAGCTACACAGTATCATCACAATTGTTGTTTATATCAAAGTTCACTTCTAGTTCTCCAACCATGTAAAATTTCAGCTTAAGAACCATAAATGTATATCTCAAGAACATCAAATGAAGAACTCGACGATGCTTACTGCTGAAGGACGAACCCCCCCCCCCCCCCCCCGAGTGCTGTGGACAAAGCCAATTTCCCAACAAGAATTCCCATCCCCTGAATTTCCAACCGAACAATGGCCAAAACTAGTTATTCATTTATTTCACAGAATCCCAAAACTGCAATTTAAACAAAGCACCAACAAAAATGTTTCTAACTGAAAGAAATGGACTTTAAACAATTTCACCTGACAGCCAAGATCCCCAAGGCCCAAAATACGCTCACCATCGGTTACGACGATAACTTGAATACTTCTTTCCGGCCAGTTCTTCAAGACATCAAGAACTTTTCCCCTGCACGTTATGATTGAACTAAGTCAAGCCAGTCCACTCGAGGATTCAAATTACATAGGACAAACATTCATACTTCTCTTTATATAAAGACCCTACGGACGCCTGAAGATGCTCCCGTACTTCTGGCAAGTTTCGTCTACGGTTGGGGTATAAACAATTGGGAGCAGCTCCTCAACATTATCGATCAGCAGCTTGTAAAACAGTCTCTCATTCCTTTCCTGTTAATGGTGAATGTAAAGAGAATGAACAAAACCAAAGCTTAAAGTGAATGTAAAGAGAGGTACAAGAGAGACCTAAAGTTTCATCATGGACATGTATTTTTGCAGGGGAACTTGATATTTCCTGATATTGTTCATCAATTTCTTCTCCTAGGAATTATAACAAACATAAAACATGAATTAATACTTCTTAAAATCTGGGGAATAGCCAAAAATGGGTTTGAAATTATAGTATGAAACCTGAAGCTGTTGAGTGACAACAGCAGGAGGGAGTAAACCACGCGAGTAGTGAGAATCTCTTTCTTTCTCAGTGAAGGCAAGCCCTTTGTTATGGTGGGGATCCCTCAACAATGAATATCCACTGCAACCCTGGAAGAACAGTTTAAAAACCCATAAAAAAAACACAAGCTTCACAAGAAAAAAAATGAAAAAGGGTGACCTTGCAACAGAGTAAGTTCATGGGGTGACGAGTTGGTCCTCGGTGGCGCAATCATCACCGTAAACATCCTTAACGCCGCCACCTACAGTGGCTCTGGGGGGACAAATCAAGCACTGTTTCCCCGCCTCTCATCTCTTTCATGGTGCTCTCCATCTTCTCTCCTCTAGATTGATTCAGCTGATTCTATGTCTATGATGAGCAAGAGATTCAACTGGACATACTACAGATAAAATAATCAATCCCCAAAAATTGAAAGAAAAATAACACTGGGATCAGCTGCGTTTGATGTACTTGTTCAACTATAGCATGAATCAAAACGTCACTGTCATGCGCTAAGAAAAGGTAGAAAAGACCGTTTCTGGTACTGGTCATTGTAATAATTAACTAATATATGTGGGTGCAAGAGGCGGCTGGGTGGCTGATTGAGGAGTGATGTGGTGGCCAAGTGGTTGTGGTAAGTGGCGGAGCTGGGTTATTTGTCATTGAGGTTTCATGTGTGTGATAAGAGAAAAAGAAAAAAAAAAGCGAAGAAAAGTGAAGAGAAAGAAAGAAGAAGAAAAAGAAGATGGAGAATGGACTGAAGAAAAATGAGAGCGAGTCAAAATGGCGGTCAACGATCCAACTCACCAGAAAACGGTCCAACTGTATTTTTCGTCACGCCTCTTAACGGCGGTTAACGGCCAGTGACCATTTTATCACAACCGATAACGTTAGTGACTGATTTGTAACTTTTAAAACATTAGTGGTGAAAACGAAAACTTACCCAAACATCAGTGACCATTGGCGTAGTTTACCCTTTAACTATTAGTTAATTACATAGTGGCCCCTCAGTTATAAATACTCCCAGACCCCAAAATAATTTCATTTTAACACCAAACCTAAAAAACAAAAAAAAACAACTTAAAACACTCTCTTCCTCCCATCGTCTTCTCCGACCTTCCCACCGTCGTAGCTCCGCCTCGCTCCGTCGCTCCGGCCACCACCACCGGTGGCCGAAAAATCCCAAATTATACCAACATGCTCCCCTCTCCCCCAAGAACACAGATCCGAAACCCAGAGTTCGAAAAGATGTTTTTCTCGACGTAGATCTAAAGATGAGTTTTGGGTTTTACCTTTTTGGCGACGACCTTCTTTTCTTTGGTGATCGTTGCCTTCCCCCTCGATCGTGCTCCATCCCACGCAACCGATGATATCTTTGTTCTTTCGCTTCGAACTTTATTTTTGACATTATTTGCTTTGATGTTTTACTTTGGGGTTTCAGTTTTTGGTGTATTTTGCTTAGTATTGCTTGTTCTCTTTGTTGCTCGGTTGGTATTTTGGCTTTTCCGGTGATACCTTCTCAGTATTTTTTTCGATCCTCTTTGGTGTGCCTTTCCAGAGGTATTTATAGTATAGGAAACCCTTTGAATCGGGTTGTTAAAACCACGATCCTATGGGGATTTATTGGTCATGATTGATTCTCTCGGCACGACGTTGCCGGAAAAATAGGGGATGTTGAGTCCCGTGATTTGCTCCATTTCTGGCTTAAGGTCTGCGCATGGCTATCATGTGCCTGATATTTTTTTCTTGTGGCGTGCCTTTGCTTGGTGCAAAAGCCCTAATGTGTTTGGGCTGGGTCAGGCCCCCTCTAATCGGGTCTGTTGGACTTTATTGGACCTATAAAAATAAATAGAAATAAAGAAATAAAATAAATAAAAAAAGTATACTATAATATATATTTAAAAAAACATTTTCAAAACCCAAACATGTTTTCTAAAATATATATTATATATATTTTCCAAAAACATTTTAAAACGTTATATTATCCACTTTTTCGAAAATGTTTTCAAAACCGTATATTATATATATTTTTAAAAATGTTTTCACAACTATATATTATATATATTTTCAAAAATGTTTTCAAAACTATATATTATATATATTTTCGAAAAATGTTTTCAAAACTATATATTATATATATTTTCGAAAATTGTTTTTCAAAACTATATATTATATATATATATTTTAAAAAATTCAAAACTATATATTATATATATTTTCAAAAATTGTTTCCAAAACTATATATTATATATTTTCAAAAAATGTTTTCAAAACTATATATTATATATATATATATATATATATATTCAAAAATGTTTTCAAAACTATATATTATATATATTATATACTGAATAAAACCCCGGACGAAAATGAGTGACTACACGACTCCTCTGTCTTCCTTCATTTAGCAGTGGTTGTGTGGGAAGTTGCCATATATTGACCTATCAGCAAGCAATTTCAAATGATGTGCAAACCATGTGTTACTTTTTTAAAACCACATCTCTTAAACATTTTATAATAAATATTAATTTGTCAAATTATTATGAGAGAACTAAGAAATCATCTTATCAAAATTCATCATGAAAAGCGATTAAATATACTGTAAAAAAATTTCGTTTACAATTTTTTGTGTGGTTGCTTAATTTGCCAGTAAATATTGAAGCAAAAGTTTGGTTTCATGTGGTCTTGTTTTGTTCTTTTAGGGGGGTAATGCTTTCTTGTTGGGACACATTCAAACATTTCTCCCTATGTATAATTCGGATTATTCCTTGGGATCCACATAGAATCACTTCTGTTTTATGCTTTAACTCTCAACTTTTCATTTTATTATATTTAAGTAACGAGTGAAATTTTCTTTTTAGATGACTCGAATTCAAAAATTTTAATTTATACGTAAGTTTATCTAGATTTAAAATCGAATCTATCATATATTATGTATTACAAGTTTGGACATGTAACATCCCAAATATCGGGTTAGTGACTAAAATGTAAGATTTTGAAACTTAGAGGTCAATTTAGAAAAATTAAAAAGTTTAGGGATTTAATTTAAAATTTATTTGTGTATGATTGTTTAGCAAAGATTGAAAGATAGAAGGGTATAATAGTCTTTAGTCAAGGAAATGAATTTAAAATTTATTCTTTGGTTTAATTTATACACATGGAATTGGGAGGAAAGAGTTAAAGCAAGAAAATCTAGAATTCTCTTTTCTTCACCCTTTTCTCCTTCTCTCCATCGTGACTCCATAGCTAATGGAAGGAATCTTTAACTTAGTTATTTCTTATAAATTTAAATTATTTTTTATTCCTGGGGTATTAGGAAAGCTTGAGAAAACTTAAAGAGAATTAGAAAGTAAAAGATGGATAAGTTATGGGGGATTATGTAAAAAGGGTTTTTGAGAGAATTTATGAGAAATCATGAGTAAATGGATTTTGAAGAAAAATTTGATCTGTCAATAGTAAGAATAAGAAATCTAAGGTGTTGGAATAGGATTTTGGGCATGTTGATAAATTGGAATGATTTTTGGTTTCAAGTGATTATGTGGGATTTTGGATGTTTAAGTGTGTTAAAGTGATATAAGTTGGTTTTAATAAATATAGTTGAGTTTAGAAGCTTGAAAAGAGTTAAAAGAGTGGGGTTTAGGTATGTTTTGGAAAATTTTCGAAATGAAGTAGGTAATTTCTAGGCAAAGGTATCGGTACTGGATGAACAATACCGATACTTGAAGGCAAAAATAGGTGAAATCTGGGTTTGGGTATCGATATTGTAAGAACACTATTGATACCATAAGGCAAAATTGTATGAATCCTTAAATCAGTATCAATATTAAAGAAGTAGCATCGATATCAATGGTATCGATACTAATGGACAAGTAGTACCATTTTAGAAGATGAATTCCAGAATGTAGAAAGGGTATCGATACTGAAAGATAGTATTGATACCATAATGAGAAAGTATCGATACTAGGCATAGGGTATCGATACTATTCATATTGAAATTGTGAATTAAGTGCTTCGTTTAACTTATGTTCTTAAGGATTGATTAATAGTAATATGAACTCCAACATTCATACCAATTGTATTATTGTGTAGATATTGAACGAAGGAAAGTATCAAACGACTCGAAGTAATTAAATTAACCAAGAGTAATAAGTGTGTTGCTTTGACTAAGTGAGGCCAAGGTAAGTGTATACTACTATATATACATTGTTTTATGGAAAGAAGACTTGTTATGAGTCTATTTCCAATATTTTGATTAAAATAATGTTTAGACGTCTATGAAATGATATGATTACATGTTTACATGAATACAAGCATAGTGTTGATTCTGTTAATAGGCTTACATGCATTGTTTTTGTTGTATACTACGTGTTATTGATCTATGTGATTATATGAATATGTGATACTAGCTATTTGAAATGTGTAAATGGTATAGCCCATAAGTATGTGATTTGAGAGCTAAAGGTATAATTGGCATGCCAAGAGTCGAGGGTTCTACGTGGTCCTTTCGGAAAATTCTATGTGGTCCTTTAGGACAATTTCTACGTGGTCTTACGGGATAATACTATGTGGTCCTCCGGGACATTTCTACGTGGCACTTCGGTGCATATTCTACGTGGCACTTCAGTACAATTTATATGAGCAGTGGTGACTACATTAGTGCACAACCTCAATGCACTCACATACCTTAAGTTCTTAATGATGTACCATGGGCTATTACAAGAAATAATATGAATGAACAGTGTATGATAATATATGTCTTTGTTAATGAATTAGGTTATAGTTTCGTTATTCTATGATTTTAATTATAAAAGCTAGGAGTAAGTTTTAATGTTTTAATGTTTTATCTATGCATTATATGCCTCACTAAGTCAAGGACATAGCGTGTAAGTGTTTTTACACGTAGGTTCAAAGAAGACGGAAGATCAGAGCTAGGATAAGTCAAGACAATATATCTCTGCAAGAAGATCAAATCATAAACGATTTACACAGTATGTCATTTTGTTGTACTAAATATGTTGGCATGTAAATTCATATTTAAATTTCATATGCTATGATCAGATTTTGTAAACTTACTTTATTGTATTTATGAATATTGAATATTTATTTTTGATTTGAGTTGAGTTTTTCTATAATTACTGATATTCAAGGGTTCAACCATTTTGATAAAAATAAATGTTTAAAATTCCGACTAGTTTAATACCCAATCTTCTTAACCATGTGTCACATGATAGTGTGTTCTTTATTAAGCTACACCATGGTTGTATGGATAAAGATGGTCCCCATGTAGACCATTCGATCCAAGGTTCAGTTCTTCAAAATCTAGGCTTTGAATTTTGCATTCTCTGTATCAGTGATGATTGAAAATATTTCTTTGAGATTCCTGGTAGTTAGTTTCAACCATACTATTGAGGTTATGCAGCTGTTTTTCACATCAGTTTTTGTTTACTTGA